TTTAGCAAAGTGAAAATTCCGAAAAATGCAGGGCATCGCGGCGTTTGAATGTTCAAGAAGGGCAGGACGATTTAAATAAGGACAGTCTATAACAAACAAATCTTATGTGGGGACGTGTCGCGAACCTTAGGTTTCCTCTCGGGTTTTGCCGACAGCCCTTCTTTTGAAGTACAATAGATGGTTGGCAGGACCAATGACACAGTATGTTCTATTTCTGACAGCAAAACTCTTGGCAAATGTGGTCAACATGTGATCAATAGGTTCGTTAGCGCAATTGCTTAAAGGTTACTGATTCGCCAAAACCTAACAAAATAAGGGAACATACATTCATTTGGTTAAAGTTACCACATAAAACAATAGCATGCTCCCAAAGCGGTTTACAAATTGTAAGGGAAAGAAATTAAAAAAAAGCACTAAAGTACCTTGGCATGTAGGGCGTGCATGTAAATACTGTAAATATAATTATTTAATAATCGAGGCCTACAGACTACAAAAATGGTTTATATTAAATTAACGATTGAGAAAGTAAGGCTTTACAACTAAGGCACCATTGCTGGCTTAAAAAATGGGCAATCCACCCCCTCTGCTGCTGGATAATGATTTTCGTTCCGTATGAAAACAGTAAAAACCCGGCGCTGTTATAAGTTGTGATTTAATTTCCCTATTGAGCCGAGTGTCTTAGTGATATAGTGTTTCTGTTTCAACACAAGCCCTGATCATTCGAGGCTTTTATGGACACGAAACCTGGAAGAGACCCTAAGGTCATTATTTAACATTTCATTGCCTGCTGCCATCAAAAACCAATTTTTTTTCTCTCGTATGTTCGTCCTATGGATATCTGTTGACGTTGGTTAGCAGCAAAAGCGACAAATCACACGTACGCCGTAAAAACTGGCATAATGAACGGTGGTAGATAAATTATTGGGTTTTTTGTCAAATCAAAATGTGTTAGTGTACTATCATAAATACAGACAAATAGACATGATGGTACACAATAATAAACTACCTTGTGCATTTATATGAAAAAAGCGGCAGCGGAAATTCGAAAATGTAAATAAAGCCAACCAGAAAAATACGTCTTACCTCCGTAGGTCAAGGTTTGGTATGTTAACAAAGTCATTTGAATGTTGCCTGATATCAGAAGAGATACCTGCCTTTAAGCAAATAATATTTGTAAAAAACTCATGCTTACATTAATCTCCCGTGCAATAAAGCCATTAGGCAGGATATGTAATCTTGATTTACGAATAAATACAAAAGAACGTTGTGTTTGTGGCATGATTAAATGTAAAATTTCGTCAATTCCATCCAGACACACCTCAAAATAATACCAAACACTCTCTACAGGAAATGTAGAGCATTCTTCCCAGGTATAAATTTGAAGCAGACCAAAACTGCAGAATTTACGTGTGCAAATATATTTCGAGAGAGTTTATCAACTGCGTCCTATTTTGTATGAAAAACGAAACACTTGGCGAATACATTATTTTGAATTTTCATAGAATCGATAATAGCAAGGTGATTGGTCAATAGAAATGCGAACGTTTAGCTTGGAAAGAAGAGTAGAGAGGGGAATTAACGAGAATAAATATGTGGCATGTATTTACCACGACAATTGAAGCTTTATCACATGGTAATATTTTTTACATAGGTCGGGTTTCTCACGGCCTACGTAGGCTGCTTCTATGCAAAGCAAGGTCCAGTTTGTTCGTGCTGGGAAAGATGTGTTGATGTTACCGAAGTGACCACTGTCTAACGCCTGTTTTGTAAGGAATGACCTATGATATTGTAACGTGTTTTAAAATCCAAGCAGGCAAAAGTTCAGCAGCCCAAGTCGCCGATTGACTTTGCGTACGGCCAGTGTACATTCATATGCAATTGCACGCGAAATCATAGACGAAGTTGAGGGGTGCGTGCAAGGGCAGACTCCCTTTGACCGGTAAAGTGAAAGGCTTTGAGTTGGCGTGTAAAACACAAGTTCGGCTGCATATTATGTTCTCTATATGGTACAACGTATGCTGCCACGCCTGTAAACGAGTTAATCACCTCCCTTTTCGAAAAATTTTTTTTAAAAGCTTTTTCTATGAGCACAAGTTCTTTGGATTGTCTGGCATTGTGTCTGACAGCTACTCCCTATGGTTTTCACCGAGAAGGCAGTCGTCCTATGCGTCGTATATGTCTTGTCGTCTTGACACGGGGTGCAGTTGGAGGATTAGAGAGAATGCCTGAGGTAAATGTGGCGCAGGTCTTAGCTTATTTAAATCCGAGACTAATCAGCCACTCTGCAACAGCCTCTCATGGAGCACCACCACCTTCACGTTAATTGGCGCGGGGGCCATTTGGACTGTAAAAAATTCGGAGGAGTTGACGGACATCGTACAGGGGCTTCAAGTTGATTACGACAAGGAAGGGTGCTCATCAGTATCCTAAGCTTGTCATTATAAACCTGACGCTTCTTTGCAATCAAATGAGATTAAACTTCTTTTTCCATTTATGGGCTTTTATGCTTAAATGGGTTTTTTTAATTTGCGAAAATTCTAACTTAAGAATTGGCCTACGTAAGTTTGTTTTCGATAATTCTCATCAGGCCTTTACATTTATAGGGTTATTAAGTAAAAAGATTATGCGAGTTTGTAGAAAAAATTGAATAGTTGTCACGGCAGGGAGAATAGAGGGGGGTGATAACGGAGTCAACATTTTATTAGGGTTTGGGTGAACTGGTAGTCGGTTGAGGTTCTAGGCTTCTGGCTGTTGCATTAGCAGCTTTTGGCCATGGTAACTCTGGCGCTGCGACGAAATTCTTTTGTGCGCAAAGGAACGGTCAGCGTAGCCTGATGGCGGCCGCTTCTGCCGTAGCCAAAAGACGCTGTCCAAGAAATTTTCAGTAGCTTGAAGGTACCTTGCATATCACTTGGAAGGCCTCTTTGGCATCCACGCGATTGTCAGAGTCTGCAAGATGAGCTATACTGGAACTGCTTACACCCTTACGTTGGCCCCTTTCTACCCATGCTAGAATGTGTTCTCGGATTGTTTTGGACAAACGCCTGCTCGTGCGATCAATATATCCCGCCTCACAGGAGCAGGTAAATGAATATATGTAGGATGGGAGTGGTCGAGAAAAGCGAATGGACGTTGGATGCTGGGTAGGTGATTTATATAGCTTGACTCAGGCGCCTCCTTAGCAGTTCGCTTGGTCCGACCCCTTATATATGGGACCCTGATGAATATTCGCTTCTTCGCTGCTGTTAACACTGCGGGTTTTGGTGGCCTTTCAGTCAGGTGCTTATCGATAAATCGACTGGGATACCCATTAATTTCGAAATACACCTTCAACTATTCTTAGCTCTTCTTCTACTCTATCATTTGAGTAGATACTCTTCGCTCTTTGCGTCAAACATCGTACTAAATTACGTTTGAAGTTGAACGTTACGAAGCTAGCAAAATAGATGGATTGCTCGGGCCATGACTTCTTAATATATATCCTCCGTTGAATGCTCCCATAATCCCTTTTACTTAGTAGTACATCAAATAGTATAGCCCCCTGCCCTGAAAACCGTGCTATTTTTTTCTAGTAACCCGATTAGTATATTTACTTAAGAACCCTATAAATGTAAAGGCCTGATGAGATTTATCGAAAACAAGCGTATATTCGCCAATTCATCCTCTGAAATGGATTTTTTGCCAAATCAAATGCCCTTCTTCGAGATAAAAGGGTACTGTCAGTCAAAGAGCGATTACGTCATTAATTTACACAGTGCTCAAATACATATTATACCAGAAGTCTCTCCCCCTGCTTTATGGTCCATTCAGAATACAAGTGTCTACCCTGACGGATAGCTAACATGCACATTGTGCAGAGAGGGAGTGGGCGTTAAAGGGCACCATACCTCGGATGTTCACATTTAGACTCCGTTCGTGAATGGAGTCTCGTCTCACTGAATAATCCGTCTTTTTACGAAATTCGGGGTATTTCAAAAAAAATTGTATCGGGCGATCGCCATTTATGAGGTTCTCGATATATCTCGTAGACCATGGATTTCCATGTGAAGCTATGTACTGTTAGGCAGTACTTCAGTTTAAAAGGTAAATAAAAGTCCGTCCTTATTTACCATTGATGCATTGGGTGGGGTCTTTTGCGGTTTGTTTTCTGTTAAACGCATGAGAACAAGTCATAGTAGCCAATGTATTACCGGCAAATATTAGGACTGCAAGATACGCTTATTTCTGGCTCATTAGCCGTCGTCAGTTACAGTTACCGGACTACAGATCGGAGTACACCTATGTACTCGAATTCATAGGGTACAACTAAGTATATTTCTACACGCTTACATTATTTAGTAGGATTTGGTTGAACCCACATCTTCGACATAATATATGTGGGGCGTTTCGGTCAAGTCCCAAATAGTTGATGCGCTAGTACGGGATGCGGTCAAAACGTACTTAATTGCATTTAATGGCAAAAAATTCAACCCATTGGTTAAATAAAAATTTAACAGCTGAAATGGTCCTTCTTTTCTTAAATATTATGCCTTACCTGATTTTCATTAGCTGAAGACAAGGTTTTGCGGTTCTCTCTTGCTTATACTGGGCTTCTGCAATATAATAATGCATATAACTAAGCCGTTTTCACCTGTCGTACTTAATAACATGGGGAATATTTTAGATATCAGGCCACTCCCGATGTCGTCGAAATCCTGCTTACTAGCCTTTTAAATAAGCTTAACTACACAGGCAGTTTTGCTCACTTAAACCCTTTTTTTGGATTAAATCAACTGCCTGGATAAACATAAGGTGGTCAGCTATATGCTTAAGTAGCAAGTCGCCTTTCGAGATGACTTTTACAGGAACTCCCAGACGTATTGTAGTCGAAATCCAACAGTCGAACCATCGTCCATCAACTACCATTTATCGCAGTATATGCCTCCTATGCTACTAGTAGCCATCTTGTGGTGGTATGCTGATAGCGCCAACGACAGGGCAACAGCTTTCCTAACCGCAACATGCTTGCACGTTTTTTCCTGGATAACTATCTCGACTTGAAAGTGGACCTCAACCGGGTGCTCTTCATCTGCCCGGCCAACCAACTGGATACCGTTCCGGATCCGTTGCGCGACAGAATGGAGATGACTGAAGTCACCGTTTATATGGCCGAAGGTAAGATGACCATTGCATATTAAGTGAGATTGGTCAACCACCGATATCCATGAAGATTACCATATGCACCAACTGGTGGTTACAGTGATGCTGACTGGCTGCAGGGTGTCGTATCAATTGACAACTGAGGTAGTTAGCGCCAACCGCAATCTTAACCTTCACCATAGCACAAGAAAACCAGCCTGGATCCGGCGTTGGCCGCTGTTCTCCAGCAACACCACCTAACCTACTCCAAAGTAGCAGTAGACTTTGCGGACTTACTACTGCAACCATCACTCAGCTTCAGTTGTTGTCATAACTGCTGTTGACTGGCAATGTAGCTGAATCTTAGTCGTACTGGTGCTACTTTTGAAGGTTTTATTAATCAGACGTGACGTGGATTAAACATCATGCTTGTATTCATGCCCCCTTGAACTCAAAAAAGCAGTATGAATCTGGGTTTAACAATTTCCGAGTGAATACATTTTTGAGACCCTAAGCACATTAGGGCTCGCCTTGGTTTCCGCCCCCTCAACTCTATCTATTAGGGTGCGTCATCATATAGGTTTACGAAACGTTTTGCCATGCCTTTACGCCGCATGGTGTCATTTTCCGTTTCCAGGCTAACGTATTGCAGTATCTAAGTCAATCTTGAAGTTAAGAGGAAGTCACCTGTCTAATAGGAGAAACATGTGCTTCATAGTCAACTACTATTGCGATATCCCATATTCGCGTACTTAGTGCCGACTTCCTCCTTATGTAGTTACATTACATTAGGGGTAAAATATAACAGTTCCGTCCGGACTAAACGAGCAAATATCGATAGTATTACCACTATGAAGAAGAAGAATAGTGCTATATTGATGATTTTAGAACCCTGAACTTTCAGCAAAATGGCTTCATTCACGTAGGACAAAGAATAATGTAAATAAGGGGTCATGTTAAAAGATCAAAGTTAAAATGCCATTTAATACTAACAATTCAAGTTTTACACGATATCCACATGAACTGCGATGACAGATCGGCTTTCAAATTTTCAATTTCCGCATGGTCAAGCTGCTTGCATATGCCAGGTTTCTCAAAGAAGAAGATAGAATACAAGGGTCCTCTATTACTAAACATCTACTAGACAGCGGTCATTCTGTCGACATCAAAACAGCTTTTTGAGTACGTTTTCTGGCCCGAACAAACCAAAGCCTGTGTAATATGGAAGCTGCATATATATATTGGAGAAACCTGACCTACGCAGGCAGCTTAACCACTTTTTCAACCGCCAATTTTCGCGGTAATTGGTCATTTAGTTAAATTCATAACTGTTTTTCGTGAGCTTTTCTTACCCAATTCTTCCCACATGTTGATTTAACGTATTGCATTTCTCGACTTTTTTCTAAACTGACCAACATTTCTTGTTGTTGCCAGTAATTGTGTTACATTCGCAACTGTTATATGTGTCCGCCTCATCTTCCTCATGCAGCGACGAGTAGGAGCTGAAAAGCTGTCGCTAAATTTGTTGATGTCAATAAATCCTGCTGGTTATGCCTGCTTTCGATTACCACCGGGGCACAAATGCTGTAAATTTTCCTTAATGTGCATTCGTAACGTGCGCAACAGAAAATCATGTTAATCGAATTTTAATCTATTTTGGCATACTTAAAGTAATAATATTTAATACATTTAATGCTGTTGGTCAGTTTCGCCGCAATCGCATATTAATATATGCCCAGTAGCCATTAATTAAATGTTTGACCACAAAATACGTTCGGCAGTTGGGTGGGGGAGATAGATGTCTACAGAGGCCTTTTAAGTCAGTTTTGCCGTCACAAAATCTTTGAAGAATAATATAGAACTAAGAAAGAGATAGTAGAATAAACAACTGTAGACTTCAGTCTCCATATTGTTGCATGTCCTTCGCGCACTTGAGAGCCTCATAGTGGAATCATTTGCATAAATTAGTCCAGCTGCACTGCTCATCCATTCGCCAACACCAGCATTAGAACAGATAGGAGTGCACTTGGTGGTCTGATTCCATCTTAAGCAGCGGGTATTGAAAAAAAGGCTGCAGCAGAGAATCAGATGCGAGTATCCATCGTCAGGAAACAAAAGAGCGCCATGGTAACCCACATACCTGTCGTCCGCGGACTGCCGTCGTGGCACGGATAGCAAAGCAAACTCCTATGATTCCACTGTCTCATTCGAGTCTCTCGGTGCTAAATGTAAGGATAGCTAGAACAGATAGTAGTTAGAATAAATTAATAAAGGAACATGCAACCCGCAAAATCCGAAAGCAACTGCCTCACAGCGCATTTCAACTGCCACAGCACACTCCACTCCGCACCCATGCATTTTCCTGTCGGTGGTTGCATTTCATATGGATGCATCCAACTGGATCCCCAGCCGCTTCCTACTGTCGTAGGCTTTTATGGTTAAAAAATGCTACCCAGTGGAACAATTAAAGCATTCAGACTTATATTCAAGAATTCCGTTCATTTCATACAACCGCTTTGTCGACAAATTGATGCAGCGTTTAAACTCTACAGTGCCATTATTCGTAAAACTTCAGAAAATTGAAGTATTCTTCGGCAAAGCGTTTTCCTGTTTTTGGTTCCCTTGATCTATGCACATTCTGCCATCTCTGTGGTTTATAAATCGCCACCATTTCTGAACTGGTTGTAAAAATAACCACGGCACAACAGCAAGGGATATAATTTAGTATAGCCGAAACTCCCTTTCCAACTAGGCTACAAGGCCCCGCCATGAGGAACCATTTGCTTAATTAATTTATACGCTCAATCCACAGCGCTGCGTGTGT